TATGATAGGACTCTACTGGTCGCAGATCCTCGCCGTTGTGAATCCAAGAAATTTGGAGGACCTGGTGCTCGTGCACGCTACCAGAAGTCTTACCGTTAAAATTGTTTTACTGTCACGAGAAGTCAATAAACATAAAGAATTTGATAATTTTTGTGTTTCTAAATTGTGTTTTTCTGTGTGGGTAAATAGATTTTTTTTTTCTCCACTGTTAACTTGAAATTAATACACAAATTGATAGGTATTAAAGTAAAATCAGAGAGCTGATAGCAATTCTCTTTTATCCATTCGTAGTAAGTCTGGATAGGTAAGGTCTTGAGAATAAAGAAAACCTTTCTCCTGTTGATCAGTGTGTGGTTATCAGAACATAATGGCTCACATCCTAGGTTTTACGGGTACATGAAGCAATATAGTGGCTCATGAAAGCAGAGTTCAATCTTCACCTTTCTGGTACAAATTAACGTTGTCAAAACCAAAGTAATTACCAGGGGCAGGGGACGGAGGTTTGTTGAGCTCTTGCATTACCAGATAATACAAAGATGGAGTTTTCTTGCTCGGTATGTCTAAATGTAGGAAACTTAAAATAACAAGCCCCATGTATTTGGTTAAAAAGTAGTCTTTAGTAAAAAACATAGAGTTTTGAGTAGATATGGGATATACCAACAAGAGACTGTTGAAAAGGCTCACGGTCCTTTAGAAGAGTTGCAGGTAATGGAGTGAGGCCTTGGATACAAGCTGACCCAACAGGTATTGCCACACCCCTGAGCTGTTTCCTGTTTAAAAGCCAGTTTGGAGAGGAACTGGAAAAAACTGGAGACCAAGACAATCAGAGCCCAACTGCTGTATTGCTCTCTAAGCCTGGTAGTTGAGTGTCTTGTATGCTTTTTGTGCCAATACTGAAGTTGTCATAGGAACACCTTGTTACTTGAGATTTTTTTTTTTAATTGGGCTTTCTCAGCATGGTATTTCTTCTCTCATTTACTTAATGGCAGGTTATTTCAGCGTACTCAAGTCAACACAAAGTTAAACCAGCTTTCTTTGCAAGTTGGGGAAGTGGAAAGAATAGTACAATTCTGCCCTTTTGCTCTAGTTTGGGAAAACAGGTGCTTGTGCCTTTTTATAAATGTTATCATTTGTCATGATGTCTGCTTTTTTGGTACAAAAGTATTAAAGGCATTCTCACTGAAGTGTAGTTATTCAAGAGTTAAATGTGTAACTTAAACAAATGCCTTCTGAAAAGGAATTCTCCATCCATCTCCCATTTTAGCTGTCAGTGTCTGCCACAAAATAACTACATTCCATGACCCGAATAGAAGTAGAATGCTCGTATTGAAGTGGAGGGGACTGTTGTATGTTCTATCACCAAGTTACACACAAGAATTTTTTGGTTCTACACTAAGCGAATGAGATATTCTATTCCAGACTCTAGCTGTCTCTGGCAAGATGTGTGGTCTTCTTTTTTCAGTCCTCTCTTTTTGCACTCTAAGCTCTTGGGCTGCTGAAAACTGCGATGCTCAGCCTCCTAGCCTGGCTTTCCAAGGAAAAAATGCTATGCAGACCTAACTTAGAATTTGATTGCTTGAATTCCTGTGAGTTTTGTGAAAACTGGCATCTTGATAGATGGTAATTAGCTTCAGTGGAGGAAAAATAAGCCTTTTAGTTGTTTGGCTTGTGTGATGACTGAAAAGCAGTGGTTCACTCATTGCTTAGGAAACGTGTACTGGCCTGCCAGTTGGCACATCTGAGGCTAGTTCAAAACTGATTCTTGCCTAGCTGTTATATTAGTGGGATGGAGGAGAAAAGACATGATGCAAAGTTGCAGTGTGTGAAAATCAGGGAGGCAGGGGGAGATGCAATACCAGATGCCAGTAACCTTCAGGGTGGATTTCACAGTTAGAAGAAACCTGATGGATCCATTTTTCTGCCCACAGAACAGGTTGTAACAATTGTGGATTTTTGTTTTGCTGTTCTTTTAAAGAAAGGCTGAAAATAAAACTTGCATTGCTACTAATATATCCAGAGATTATATCTGCATGTCATTTCTTCAACCAGAAGACTCTTAGCATAATACAAATGCTTTCTGAATTGAACTCTGATCCCATAAAAATGCCTCGTTAATCCTGTAGAGTGATATCATTCCTATACACTTGCTTTCTAAATGAGAAATGTTTGTGGAATTAGGCTGGTGTCTGCCTGGGTGGCTGAACATTTTTATCCTAAGAGGTTTCTTACTGATCACCCACTAGAGGGCTTAACTTCATTGAGGAAACAGAACCACTGTGGAGTTTGAAGGTGTAAGGAGGAAACCTGTTTGATCTTCAAACCCTTAGTGAGGATCTTGAGCAGCTGTGGACGTGGTTCTCAGAAAAAAAAGGAATGTTCCTGACCTCCTATCATCCAGCTCTTTCATTAGTTTCACCAATGCTAATCTTTAGGAAGATCAGGTGTGCACAATAAAATGTGGTCTCAAATGAATTCATTGAAAATACCAAGTTTTGTTAACTGCAGAGGATCCAGTTCAAAACCAGGGCAAACTTATGTCCATGGCACGGAAAGCAGTTATTTTTTCACCCACTGTTTATAATCTTGATAAACAGTGTGACCTGTATATAAATTTAAGTCCTCTCAAATGTCATGTTGGAAAATTTGGAGAAAATTAATTTTGTCTGTAATATACAAATATATAAATATTGAAATGTTTAAATTTTATTTTTAAAGAGAAATCTGTAACTTAAAGATGTAACACCAGCATTTTTAAAGTGCGGACAAGTGTGTTCTGTCTTGTGCTTGTTTCCTTCCAAAAGAGATTATTTTCTAATGCCTTTTTTCTGTTCAGATTTTTCGGAAGCGCCAATCTGTGAGTATTCTAATACTTGTGTAGATAATCTGTGTTGTTGCCTTGATACAATTTGATTCAATTTTTTTCATCTCTTTCTTAATATAGTCGTCTGAGTTACAGTTCAGTGTACTTGGCTGAATAATTCTTTTCCCTTAGCTGACATCCTTAATGTGCTTGGGACTGTGCTTTTTCCTACCCTGCCTTGGGCAGAGATGTCCAAACCTAATGAAGCCTATTGTTCTAACTCTTAAAAAGTTCCTTTGCAGCTGATGAGGCTTGGCCTACTTTTTAAATATTAGAATTTAAGCAAATGTGAAATACTAACCAAATATTCACTCAACTCTGCTATAGAAAAATTGAAAAAAAAAAAAGTCTATTTTGGATAGTTTCTGTTAAACCAAAATAGTTCATTTCTATGAACGTTATATTAATGGAAATATTTATTTGTGAAATTACATATGAAGCATGGTGGGAAATACAGTCTTGAGGAAGGGAGGAATCCCAGATCAGATTTCTCTTGGAACAGTTTTGAAACAGGAACTTGGAACAGTTTTGAAACCGGACTTGAAAGTAAGATAACATGGAGGCTGGTAATGGAAATTTGAAGATCTAATGTTTGATTTCATCTCATCTTGAGAGTAACCTTCAGTGAAAGTATATTTCCTCTAAGTTCCCACATAAGAGTTAAAAGAGTGACTATATCAATGAGTCGATTTGGCTTAGGAACTCACTTCTTTTGCTTCTGTTTGCAGTCTGGAGTGGTTTTGGACCACATGGAGCGCATACAGCTAAGCTGGGAGATGCAGTCTGGCTGCACACAAGCAGCCGATCCGTGGGACCAGGCCATAGCCAGTCAAAAGTAAAAACAAAACAAAAAACCCTCTGGAAACACAATTATTGGAATGTCGGCTTCTCAGATCCAACAGTTTACAATAAGTATCCTTGTGCCACCAGTGGTCCCAAACTTGCACAAGTGCTCTTGGCTGCTATGTGGATACAGGGTTTTGTCCTTGTCTGTGGTTGGAGAGGCTGAGTGTTTTTATTTGCTTTTTGTTCTTATCCAGCTGGGGAGCAGGAAAGAGAAAAGTCTAGAAAAATGATGGAGAATGTTTTACTTGAGAGAGGTCATCAACTTCTAAATTTTATTTGGGTCCAAATACACCCTCAGAGGGTCTCACAAAGCACATCCTACGAAGAGCAGAGGGCTAGGCAAAAGACAGGTTTTGCAAAATAAAATAAGCAGTAGCAATTTCAAGTAGCATTATATATGTCTTTAAAACTGTTCTTTTTAATGATTCTGTTTACAGTAAATCAGTATTTATTTTTAAAATTTAAAATTATGATAAAACAGGTAAAAGTCTTTCATTTTAAAACATAATTTTAATTTTGGTTAAATTATATTTTTATATTTTAATGAAAATTAGAAATGAAACCCATTGTATTGAATTCTTTCTCCTTTTTGCTAATGTAAAGTTTTAATAATGTTTTATTAAAAATTAAATATAATTATACTCTGAGAAACCTTCTTTTATGGTATAAGCAAACTATACACAGAAATACATCTAAAATATTCTTAAAAATCCAAGTGTATTATTTAATAGAAGTTCACCTCTCCCCTTTGAGGACAGATAAGAAATGTTAATATGTTAATTTCTAGAACCATCTGGTTATACTTTATATAGTAGTATCATTTCAGGGTCTTGCAAAAATATTTTGCTATACTAAGCAGTGAAGAGCAGCACTCAGCTCAAGCCTCAAAGCACACAAAGGTGTGTGATGACTGAAAGATCTCTCAAACCACCATGACATGGCAACATTTGTGTGTCATTGTCTGCTATGTTATAAAGGGCCGATTCAATTCAACAGAGGAGTAATACTTGCAGGTCTGGTGCAAGTGTAACTAATACAGACCCTGCTGAGGAGTTACCATGCATTACTAATGAGGGACATGCAGCCAGGAAGTTGTATGCAACACTCACAAAGCTCCTGAAGCTGTATGTAGCTACCAAGCTTGATGTCTCCTTTTATTTTCCTTTTTTTGCATTGCGTTGTTTTAAATAATACATTCAATTAACTAATTTTTAAAGGATTTAAACACACTGTAGAAATACATTGTTCTAAGATGTCATGTAATCAAAGCCATTAATTTGGATAAATTCCCTATTCCTAACTTATACTGAAATGAACATTGTAGGAAAGCTCAGTTTAATGATACCATGGAGTATATTCTTGCTTCATTCACTGCTGTCCTCTTTGCAAGGTAAGAATTTTATTCCATTTCTTTTAACTTTTACAAAGATTTCTCTAAGTATTTTTCTATCATTGTATTTTTTGACCTTGCTGGAATTTATAAATGCAAATTAAACATATATATCACCATTCTCTCTCACAGGAGTAGAAACTAAAATATAACTTTTTTTTTTAAGATACATTTTTATACCTCTGAATTTGTTACAAAACAATTACTTATGAACAAAATCTAAGTTTCTTGTATTTCTTGCTATTTTTGTCAGATGAATAAGCATTTTCAATGGGATATGATTTTGTCTGAGCAGACTGCACCTGCAGTTTAAAATTTTTAGACTGATAGGGTAAATAATTGCTCTCCTAATTACAGAAATGATGTTATTTTCTATGTAGTGCAACTGGATCTTGCAGATAGTTTTCATGCAGCAATTATAAAGATTTCTAAGGCAATAAGAGAAATTGTTTTGTTGTTTTGTGTATTTGTTTTTGTTTGTTTATTTGTTTCCTTGTTTTAAGCATGGAATAATTTAAAATTATTTACAATTGAATCTTACAAGTAACACTCAGAAAATTATTATAACCCTAGAAGTTTGATTCTGAAAAGCTCTGAGCACCTCTTGTATTTTATCTGTTTTGTTCTGAGCCTCTGAAGAACTATGAACTCTTTTCCTTCTTTCATGGGAGCATGTACCAGAACTGAGACCATGAAAACTTGCAGGTGAATAATGCTTGGGAGAATCAAGTCCTCAGGAAGGAAAGCATGTAATGCTACATTCCTTGGAAACAGAAAAATTTTGTGCAAAGATGCTCTATAAAACTCAGGATCATTGAAAAACAAAATTCAGTAGTGTTGTTTTAAACTTCACATTGCTTGCCAAGGACAGAGTAATGCTGTAGGAAAAAAATGTTTAACTTGATGACTTTTTAATCCGCAGGATCTTATTGCAAGCTTTCTCCTTTGAGAAGAACTTTGAGGTAAGGTTTTGTTCCTTATTTGTCAAGTCCTACTAACAGAACAAGAATGAGCAAGTGTGACGCAGTGCAAGTTAGAAAGTAAAATATAACCTTGAATTCAACATGTAAAATGTCATGTACATGTAGGTTGGATGTAGAACACACTTTCAGAATGTTTACAACTCTTTTCAAAGTATTTACATAATGGGCACGGGTCCTTCATTTGAAAAATGGAGTTCCTTATGAAAAACGATACTTCTATGGTCTTGAGAATGCTTAGAGGAATAATGGAATGAAACCAGCATGAGATCATGATTTCATGACTGGAAAAATACATTAAATGAATATCCTTCTACAGTCTTAATTGCATGATAAAATCGTAGCTGCTATTTGAAGCACAGAGAAGTAAGTGCTGTATAACCTTAAAATAAACATTTTCAATACAAATCTTCATGTAGAAGCTGAAATCCAAACAAAACCCAAACTAGGGAATGTTCCTGATCCCATTGAATTAAATGGGAACTATGCCATCCATTTCAATGGAAGCATCCAGTTGGACGTAGCTTCAAATGTCTAATGACCTCTAATGCATCTAGCAAACACACATGCAAATCTTGGAGTATTGATAGAACTAAGTGTGTTTTATAGTTTGATGCCCTTGTTTTGAAACTTAATCACAAATTTAAGTTGGCTCCAGCTGGAGAGTCATCTCTTGCTATTACAAGTACCATCACAGTATATTCAAGCAACACTCAGGGAACTTACAGCCACTCACACATAGCATCAACTAAATATGAAGTGGCTTTACAGTTTTGTATCCTGTTGTGTAAGCCTGTTTTGCCTATTTACGTTTCCCCACAGGCTCCAGGTACCTCCCTGTCCAAGCAGAGATCAGAGTGCTGCCCAATTTGGTAAAATGAGACAACGACAAAAAAAAAAAAAAGAAAAAAATAATCACCTTTTTAAATGTTAACCCAAGAAAGACCTCTTTGATAAAGTTATGGTAATCAGAGAGAAACACTTCTCTCAAGGGAGTTGCTTATTCAGGTTGCTCCAGGGACCTTTGCTAATACAAGATCCTTTTTGTTTTCTTCCAGAAATGAGTTTAATGCAACTCGACAGAAAAGAGATCTTGTAACAGCCGAGGTAGGTTATACCTCCAAAAGTGGGAGGGAGGGAAAACCCTCCTCCCTTTTCTGCTCTGGGCCTTTGCCATCCTTACAAATGAACCTTTGTGGGGAGAAGGGCTGCGGTAACAGGAGGACAGTGAGGACAGGAGCAGCTAGTCCCCATCTGCCCAGCCCCGACTGACCCAGGGCCTCATGCCTTCATTCACTCTCAGCAGAGCACCCAGTGGGCAACCTTCCCTGATGAGCTGACTGACGCATACCATGGGAAATAAACCCACCATGTCTCTCTCTGTCTTTTGTGAGAGTGAACAGAATGTCCTGGAAAGCTGTTTGTGTTTGGTGAGAGGCACAATGGCGGCGCCGCTGGCAAGGCTCCCTCATGCACGTGGTCAATGGTGGCTCCAGCGCAGCCCTGGTTCCTATTGCCCCGGCCCCCTGCTGCCTCAGTGTTGCACCTCGGCAATGCTGCTCTGAAATTTAATAGTAAATGGAGAAATCTCATTCCCCCACTGGTACACACTTGGGTTATGGACCCCAGCCAAGGGTTATAACCCCGTTTGACGGGGGTAGGCAGGAAGCCGGAGACTGTCTCTCCTCAGGGTCTTTGCGAGGAGCCTGCAGCCGAACCAGGGCTGATTTACTCCAAGTGCCTTTGAGATCTGTGTGCCCCTGACTGAGTCAGAAGGCAGTGGGTGTGAAATGCTGTGCTAAAATCAACCGAGCCTCTGAGACAAGCGAACTGGTGGTATCTTTGGAGGGGGCCTCAGCATGGAAGTGCTGTTGCACCAAGGACGCTTTACTACCCCAAAATAACACAAAGGCCAAAAGCCACTTTCCTGAGGCAGGCAGTTTAGAGTAGCTATCATGGAAAATGAAAATGGGTCTTGTTCAGGGAGGGAAGGGACACCTTTCAGCTAGCAACAGGCCATGGGAACCAGGAATAGTTTTGGTAGGGGGGCCTTCCAGGTGATGATTTGATGAAATCTATTTCAAGTTGATTTTAGACAGATCGTGCTACTTGGATGCATCCCACTAAGCATTTCCATTTGGAAAAAGGAAGTCTTTATGTCACTGTAAGAGGCATTAGTAAGACTTAACCTAACATGTTCCTTGCATGGCACTGTTCACTTTCAAATCCATCAGTTCAAATTCCAGAAGTGGAGAATGACTGGTGTCAAGAGGGAAGAAAGAAATTAGCTTATAAACAAAGATTAAAACAATTTTTTTACTTAGTTGTGCAACCTAAGGCTGGTGCTTATGTCTGTGGGGAGCACAGAAGGGTGACTGTTTTTCTCACAGATTATCAAATAGGAAATAAGTAAAAAACAGAGAAAAGAGTAGCTATTTAAGCAAAAGGGCCCAGATTTATAAAAGAAGGGATTTAAACTGGCCATGAGTAAATGTAAATGGGAAATATGTAGCTACTTATCACTTCACCCTGCTAAACTTTTCAGTCAGACTAGTTGGGGGCAAAAGCCCCAGATTATTTTCAGCCTGGAATAGGATCGGTTCTTGAAAGGAACAATGTGACGTGACAAGCTGCAGTAGCAGGGTGCTTGGGCAGATCCAGGGCTTCCTCATAGTCTGATGCTCCCTTGTTCCTAAACAGGAAGCAGCTCAGGCAGATCCACTTTCTCTTTTGTTTGGGATGAACCAAAATGCAATTCTGAAGGTCCTCAAGGAGGACATGAAATCCATTGCAGCTAGGGTGGCCACAGTGGGATGACCAGGGTGCAGCACAGAGCATGATTCAAGGGAGAGGATGAAATAAGGGATGTCCCATCTTCAAGCTCACCAGCTATGGGTATTTGACTGAAGTGAAAATGGCAGATTGTTCTCTGTCTCCTCACTTTTCCTTCTAAATGTAAATGCAAAACTTCCCAGGTGGAGCCCCAGTGGTTCACTGGAACTGGAGGGCATGAGGGAAAGCAAGCAGTGATCTCACAGCACAGCTGTGTCCATTCTCATCCCCTCAAAACCTGTGCTTTTCCTCTGCAGCCTGCCAATCCCTCCTGCAGCACCCACGCCTCTACCTTGCTGGCTGAGATGCAAATTGCTGTTCTGTATTAAAAGTCCCAACCCAATGTTTGGGTGCAAGTATTCAGGCTCTTATCAGCTCATTTGTAAACCACGAACACCCTGATTTTGCTTTTATGTTTCTCTGACAGGTTCAAGCTGCGTCTTTGTTGCATCTTCATGGGACCCAGATGCAGAGTCCACCAGGAGGTGAGTGCTGTGCTCCTCACCCGTGGGAGGAGAGAGTCCTGAAAATACTGCCTTCCTACCAGTTCCCCTGTGTTACCATGGGCTGTGGAACCCCTCTTCCTTATGTCCCCTACAAAACCCTGCCCTGTCTCATTTTCTCATGTTATCCATGTTAAATTAAGAAAAATTCCTATTAAAATTGTACTTTCAAAATAAGGCCTTACAACCAAATCTCAACAACCAACTAAACCAATACTTTGATATTGTTTTTTTTTTTTTTTTTTTAAATTTAGGTCTGTTGCAATTTTTCCTTTCTGCCACTTTTTTTCTGGCCTTGGCAGAGGATGTAGGTATGTCAGAGAGACAAGTAACTGGTTGTGCAAAGGGACAGGGGTGCTCAGGCAATGAACACGCATCTGCTCCTGGAGAGTCTTAAGCATTGTACAACCATGTAAAGGAGGCCCAGGTTACAGAATTTGTTTTACAGTACAGTTCATTGTATTCAACTTGGGTTGGAATTTTGGTATCCTTCTTGGAAAATGCCTGGGCAGGTCCTTTCTGTTGCATTTTTCTATGTAAAAGGATATATGCAATTTTGCAACTCACAATTCTAACAACAACAAAGAAGTTTTCCACTTCCACCAACCACAGAAGTTGGTGCTGTTCTAGAAGCAATATTTTCTGCTTTGTCAGTATTTTCAGAGTATCTGTGTATATTTGTAAAGCAATTCTTTAATGGAAAAAATTCAAAACTAAGCATGCAAAGGAATTTTCACAATGAAGGATGATGTTCATAATAATTGGTAGCTTCTGTGTACCTTTAATGTAAAGGTCCCATTTTATTCCCATTCAAGATCACTAGCAGCTTTTTTAATCTCCATCAGCAACACTGAAAGCTTTTTTATGTAGGGTTTTAATCCTACTCCAAGAAGGAAAACAGCTATCTACAAAACCTGATGAAGTTTTGCTTTGGGACTACTTTTCTTCTCCACTTTTGGGGAATTATGATTTAGACCCCCCTCAACGAATGATTAGTAAATGACAGGGAGGTCTTAGCTTTCAAACACACTATAAAACCCTTTAATGTAACTGCTTTTGGAAACAATTACTAATTATAAAACAAGCCATTCCCATGGAATCTAAAGTCTCTGACTCCAGTCACCTCTTAAGCAGAAAAAACCTTCTGACTTTTTTTAGCATGTGGAGAAGGTTGTTTATGACTGGTTTTGACTCTGTAAATTATATATTCTGGACTAATCATAAACTGAATGTACCCTTTGCTGTAATGCTTAGGAGGGAGGAGCTGAACATATGTATAAATTATGCTGAATTTAGTCAATTAGAATAATCTGTGTCCTGCATATTTTGAGATCAGCAGGACTGGGATTTGATTTCTTTACATGGGAACTTGACCTTTTGTTTGCTGGGAGGAGGTTGACCTTTTGCTCCTTTGTTAGTTTACAAGTCTCAAACCAAAAGAGAGAGAACCTTGTTTCTCTTTTAACCAAGGAACCCAAAGGATAAAATTATGGAAATGTTAAAAAATGGAGATTGTTGTTTGTTAATTTTCTCAGCTAATATAGCTGCTTGTGATTTAACAATAAACAGATTTAATGGGGATCTTGCAGCCTGTTTGCAAAATACCGTATCTACTAAAAGGCTGCTATGCCTGCTTACAGGTTCATGTCCTCAGGAGTGCCTTAATGGAGCAGCCTGCACAGAGGCGGGTGATTGTGACTGTCAGTTATTTCAGGCTCAAGGAAACAGGTGCCAAATTGGTAAGTTTTGGGCCAAAGGGTTTAGTTTCAGCTTCAAGGGAGATGCAGGCTTTTAAAACAATACTGTTAGCAGCATATTTGTGATTCCTCTGTGGTAAAACTGTCATTCGACAAGTAGCTAGGAGTGTTAGGGATGTATAGAGAGCAGGAATGCCTATATTTTAGCACTTGGGCTGTAACAATGCACAGATACCAAAATAGACAGATCACCATCTAGTGCATCCATAGCCAAACAGATTTTTTATAGTTAGCTGAACAACCAAAAAGCCACTGCCTTTTTTCTAACAGTGAGTTACTGCAAATAAAATTACCAACTATTTCAGTGCACTAGTTTCTGTAATTTGCTGTTTGTAGGGATGGACAAGAATTGTCTTCCATTATTGGGAGGATATCGAAATCCCTGGCCTCTGTTTGTAATTAAAATGTATCCACTGAAGCAAATAAAAAACTTAATGATGATTGCATATGGTTAAAACTACAGACTAAAGATTAAGAAAAATACTGACTTTATTTAAAGTTGAAGAAATAAATTTATCTTTTGTACTTGCTATGTATTTCCTTTTAAGCTCTTATTTCCTTTCCGAGCTCCTACTTTCATAGATGCCTGTGACACCTGTCAATTTTTTATGACAGTGCTTGTTGTAAACTCACTGTGCTCTCTCCAGTACCTAACACTGGTAAGGACCGAGATGGGATTTGCAAGTCGTGGGGACAGTACCATTTTGAAACATTTGATGGCATCTACTACTACTTCCCAGGAAATTGCTCCTATATTTTTGCAAAAGATTGCAGTACTCCAGAACCCCAGTACACTGTTTGGGTAAGTATGTGAACATAGACTAGAAATAAGTATGTAAGTAAATATAGAAGTAAATGAGTAAGTAAAATAAGTAGAGAGACAGCAAATGTACCAAACTGCTCATTGCTTACTTAGACGTAAAATTATTTTCTGGAAATGTTTAAACATATGTACAGTAACTCAAAATACTGGTGAAATTATAATCAACAGAGTCAGGATATTAAAAATAGTATTTCTTACTCCTGCTGTCCTTAATGAGATTTTTGATCTCTCCCTTCTTGGAGATACCATGGATCTCAAAGCAAACCTTGGAAACTTCAATGAACTGAAGCTATCAGATAATAAGAAAAACTGATTTGCTGAGTAAAGTGCAAGCAGCTATCACTTGCCAGGCACCTGAGCATACTGGGCCCCAATTCACAGCCTCTGACAAGCTGTGAGGATCTGCCTTCCTGGTCGATGGGATTTGCTCTCCCATCCTGTCCCCTCTGGGGATTTGCATTCTAATTTTGGATTACCTCTAAGTCATGCTGAGAAGATTAACAGCTCAAAAGCCTTCATCTTGACCTATGTATGGAAGGCACTCTTTTTAGTAATTTCTTCAAGTTACTGGGTGTCTGTGGTTAATGACTTTGGATCAGGGAGAGTTCAAACCTATACCCTGTTTGAAGAAAGATGCCCTGTTTGTCAGGCTCTTAGTTACTGTGGGGAGAGCATACAAGCTCATTATATTACTTCATACACAACGGTTGGAATTTAGTGCTGACTGGGCAGGGAAAAGTGGACAAGAGGGGTCCTAATTCTGAGCTTTGGTGGGTACAGTGCTTGCAGGGATGAGGGCAGATCTACATGCTGACTTCTGCTCTGAGGACTTTTTTCATTTATAAACAGATGATCTCCTCTTCCCTCAGATAACAGCACTTAGTGAAGATAAATCTACCATTAAAACTGCCATTTCTATTTACTGAAGATATAGAGAGATGCTGTTACACCTACCTTCCACAATATAATTTTAATTTTTTGGATTCTATATGCAGCTGTGAACTGTCAGGAGTTTTCAGAAATTGCTGTAGCAAAGTCCAGTATTATATTAAAATCTAGAATCAATATTTCAGTGAATTCCAGTTGCTCTGGAAAGAGAGCAATGTCATGTTTTACTAAATGTCATGTTTTACTAAAAATTGAAAATGTTTACTCAGCAAATTCATAAGTAATGGGAGACTGCAGTCTCTACAGACTGGGCAATGGAGAGCCTAAAACCTTGCCAGATCCTCACACTGAGGTCCTTCTGGCTTTAATAATCCACCTCTCAAGAGGAGAAAAAAACCTGTGTTTCTGTCTTAGGCTGGGTTTACAGAGAAACCATCTGTCAGTACTAGTAATGTTTATGTTGTCTTTAATTATGATTATTTTTATACCTGTAAAAACACTTAATGCTTTTCCGGGTTTGGTTTATTTCACTCAAAGAAACAGTAATTGGTTCTTACTTCCAGGATTAAGTGTCAGTTAAGGAAGATTAATTGAAGTATGTGTTAGCACTGTATGTGATGCACAGATATTTTCTACAAAAGGTATTTTTACAGCCTCCATTGCTACATTGGTAAAATGTTCCCAATTACGAATGTATTTAGCTTCACGGTACTGTCAAGTAAACTTGTAATGCAATTCCCATCCTTCTCAAAGAATGGTGACACACACAGCAACATAAGTCATATTTGAGTTATCTAAACTCTGTCTACATTTTAATTTAGGTAATGATAGGCATCTAAGATTCAAAACACATTCCCTTGTCTCTTCGGTGGTGTCTAAAATAAACTCACAGGCTTTTGAAGCACTATAGTGCATCCCACAGGTTCGGGAGGCTCAACCCCACAGAGATTAATGAAAGCTATTGAAGAAGTTTTGCTCAAGCAAAACCACACTATTTTCAAGTCCTGAGAGTGCTGTATTCAAGATAGAGAAGCTGATATATGACTCAAACAAATCCCCTTGCTCACTATGCTATATATGTATAATGGGGAGAAGCACACTTCAGAAAAGTCTACCTTTCTCCATTAGCAGGGCTGTAAAGCCAGTGCAAAATGGATTTTAGCAGATTCATGTAAATTAGATACCTGAAGTAATCTGTGGGAGCACTAAAATCTCAAAATATCCTGAGTGGTTCAGGAAGGCATGTTGTAGTTCAGTTGGCACGAGTCTCAGCTGGCAGGGAGAGTGCTGGTATTATGCTGAAGTTTTGTACTGGTTTGTAGTCCTGTCTAATAGACCAGAAGCTGTAGAAACAGAGCAAGAGGGGTGCTTGCAAATAAGGAACTCCTACTTTGGCAGCTATAAGCTAGCTCACTACAGTGTCCCTGAAGTTCATTAGCATAAAATACCTATTTCATCCGGTATTTTAATCACTGTCACATGATGCTTTGTGCTATTAAATGGTTGCTGCATTTCTCAGTAGTATTGGCTAGCATGAACTCCTGGTTTTGCATATCTTTGTAATTGTGACCTTTTAATATTCTAGGTATTTATTTGTAAAACTCTTTCAGTAACTGGAACATAGAAATGTAAAATATCATATATGAATTTATGAAAAATGCTGTGAAATTATTGAGAACAAACAGTTATTCTTATTGTGTGCATATTTTTCCCATCGAAGGTTCATAACAGTCCTCACTGTTATGGTTCTGTATATACTTGTCAGAGGTCCATCAGCTTATTTTTTTCAAACCAGGAAGAAATAATTATTTCAGGCCATGAAGTAAGAAAAAATGGAATCAGGTAAGTGTTCTAATGGTGGGATTTAGTATTTTATTGCAAAAAGATGATGTGGAGTTAGAGAAATTGATGCTTTTTACACCATCCAAATAAAATAATTCGATCTATGTCTGTATTGATCCTTTGCTGTTCTATATTGGGGCTGACAGAGCTCTAGTGTGAGCAGATGTAACAGTACTGATGTAATACCTGAGAGAGAATAGCACACACTCCACACATTAACCCTGTGTTTATCTTCTCAGCTGTAACCTAACAATTATTCATTACTACTTTGTACAGGTAAAGTCTGTGTCAGGCAGCCCTAGCTAATCCTTGGTGCATCCTGATACCATTTTGAACAAGACAGTCATTGTTTATTCTTGGTAGCTATAGCTAGTACAAGACACGATCTTCTTCCAGATGAGTCTGAATTGGTGAAAACAAAGATTCTAAGCCCCTTTGAGGCACAAACTTCACAAAACTTCTCTGAGGTACATCAACCCCCCAAATTTACCTTTTTTTTTCTTTTTTTTTTTTAATAAGTAAAAAGATGAGCTCAAGGCTATCAGAAGTTTATTTTACTAGCTGATGGTCTTTGATCAAGGGAGGAAGAGATACAACTTTTTTGTCAATAGTATTTTCTGTACTGTAAGTTTCTCCATTTGCAGATGTCTAACCCAGTGATGACCCGGTGCCCAGAAGGTCATAACATCAAACAGCTCCTTGCCCAATGCAGCATGCTCGTGAAGTCAAGTATTCCTCAGTGTGCTGAACTGGGCTTTGAAAGTGAAGATTCACTATTCTTTCAGGCTTATAATTGGTACAACTAATAGGTGTATACAACAGAAAAGCATTCATTTTTGATGGTTGATATAGAGAAGTAAACAGAAGAAAAGATAATAAAAACATGATGAAGAATTGAATGGAGTGACTGCATACACCAGGGAAAAGGGGTTTAGTGAGTTAGGTGATGATGTTTTATGTGGTATTTTTCTAGCAAGAACCTCATCTCATCTGAGATCTTTGAAGCAGACAATTTTTTTCCAGATTAATGTTGCCTCAGACAGTTGGAAATGCTTTTCTTGAGAGACTGGCTGACTATATTCTGGTGAAGACAACCTTTGGTTTTTCTCTTGCTTGGGATGGAAACTCTGGTATTTATATTAAGCTGACAGAAGATCATAAGAGAAAACCTTGTGGCCTTTGTGGAAATTTTAATGGCAATAAATATGATGACCTGATACTGCAAAATAGTAAGTAAATAGCTTACCGTTAACTTGTGTGAACAACTTCTATGTTAACTTTAAATATAATGCTGTTAAAATATAATGGTGTAAAAACGCAGAGTCCTCTTTCAGTTATTTCAGTAAAATAGTGTATCTGCTCTACTTTTGCTTCTCCTTATCATTCAAAATTCAAATGGAAAAGGTTCTAGTTCAAAAAATAATCTATATGTGCATTTAAGCGTTTTCTTGCTCAACAAAGCACTTGGAGTATGTTTATCTTAGCTGATGAAAGTGCCTTCAAATAATAAATAAATAAACAAATGTTTGTGGTTTTATCTGTGTTTAAAGATGAAGGGAAAAGCACCATCTCAAGTCATTCTTTTATATCAGCATCATAAAAATACTAGTTGAAATCTATAAATTTCTGAACTGTTGCCAGGGAGTTCCTTGTATCTCCTTGTCGGTATGGTGTCTTATGGTCCTCCAACTATGCTGTAGAATGAGGAGCTGCCCAATGCTGTGTCTGAGGCAGAGAGGAGTTGAACTCGTATTCTGTAGTCCATGAAGGGAATACTCCATAGGGACTTTTTTCCTACTTGCAACTAATGTGAGAAAAAAGAAAAAGAACAAGTTTGAGAATATGACTAATATTTATCTCAGTCTCTTATAAAAACAAGACAGGACTATTTTACTGTTACCATTAACTGCAAGGAGAACCTAGTCCCAAGGCTCTCCTTGTTCTTAAGTCTCAAATGTTGTCTTATTAACTTTTTTTACCATTTTTTATGGTTGATAGAGGAGCTTTTTAACTTTCTTAGTGAAGGAAGACTCAGTGTACATATCTTTGCATAATCTTTAAAAATCTGCCCAGTATAAATTTCTCATACTTCTTCTGCAATGAGAGCAATAAGTTTTGTGCATTAACTTCTGCACACCAGACTATGGTATGTTTAATAACCAGTTTAAACTGATGATGTTTAATAATAGAGAAAAATGGTATTTGGTGGAATTAATGAATTCACATGATCTCTAAAAAATAGTAATTTCAGGATCTTTAAATATATTATCTGTTGTAAAAGACTTGCAGTTCTTACCTTACTTCATTTTCAGAGCTACATTTCTCTGCCATCATCATTCCTTCTTGCTTTTTTCTTTATCAGAAATGATAGCGTTATTGTAGCGTACAGTTGAGAGCCACATGAATCATGTTAACCTTGAGCCAGTTGTATCACGTGGTGCCTTGCCTCTGCAAATACAAAGCACGAAGTCCTGAGATCTTCAAAAGAATACATTGCTAATTCAAATTACTTCCAAGCTGCAACATTTTTCTAAGAGTTTGCAAATCATATCAATCATTTGATATGATGATTTATCTCTTCCAGCTAAACTACTTCCTCCAGTAGTATAAAGGAAGCTCTTACATCTATCCTGAGTCTTCCAGAGTCCAAATGCTCTTTATATGTAATGCTCAAATAAATAAGTTGCTGAGAGGCACATAATGCTCCATTTCAAAGCACAGTTTAAAAACAAACTCCTTTTCTGTTTCCTTATCTTAATTTTTAATGCCATCTTTGTATTGCAAGACTGTATCTGTGTACAGAATTGTTTCAAGGACCATGATTTTATTTTGTGGTATTTCTTGAAGACTTAGAAGTTTTTTCAAGCCCTGTTAAAATGTAAATAAAATAATTTTAATGTGTTTGTAGAAGCAGAGCTATGTCAATAGATTTACCTCTAGATCAAACTCCAACTTTTTATGTTTGGGAAGGGTTTTCTGCGTAAAGAACTACTCTGACAGAGAGGGAGAAATATTTTAAGACTCTCTGACTCTTAAGTAAAACAACTGGTTAGGATCTTATCTTTGTTTATTTGTGGAGATCTAAGTATACATATCCGATTAGTATGTTTTGTGGCTTTCCACACTGCAGTGTCCAACTTTGTACTTCTTGTGGTAGAAGTACAGCTAGTAGTACAGCTCTGTGAAAAAAACCCTCTAGCTGATTTCATTTCAGTATCCTATCTCTTAACCATTCATAGACGTAGATAACCATAGCATAGATACTAATTATTATAAGGTTCTTCAGGGTAGAGGCAATATACCCTTTTTAACATAATAAAGAATGTAGAGAAAATGAAATATTTAGTTCTTGCTGCAAATATATGGGAAATTTGGGTCTGTTTCTTTGCTGCCAACCTTCTTGTATGTCCATGTATCTTAACCTGTTGCCATGACTTCTAGTCATGCATCTTGTTTATTAGTTCTCCCAAGCTTATGCTGTGAGGAGAGCTGGGCATGTTGTGGTATGTTTGTTGTAGGGCTTTTCTGCAACAAGGGAAAAGGAGGGAGATAATAGCACTAACTGACCTCTGTGAAACATGATGAAAGCCTTAAATGTTTCAAAGAAATGTATTTTTTCTTAAGTATTCAATGCATTACACTTGTATATTTGTTATACAAGTTATACAAGTTATATTTGTTATACAAATATACTTGTACATTTGTTTTATAACAAATATACAATTTATATATTTGTTATAAAATTATCAGTAATGGCACCTACAAAAACCCAAACCAACACCTTGTCATGTTTTTTTTAATGTTTTTATTTAAATGTATTATAAAATGTAATCTGAAATAAAAAAAGAAAAATAACGTTTTTCTTCACCATTCATACTCTGAAAACATTTGTAATTGAGATTATGAACACACTGAAAAATGATTAGAAATTTCAAAGACGTCTTTTGTATTTGTGTCAACAACTTCTTTTTCATTGTTGTTCTCCCAATGTTTTCATGCAGTAGGTGATTATACAGAAGACATTGCTGAATTTGCAAATAGTTGGGCTGTGCAATCCTCAGGTGATGTAGCTTGTGTACCTACTGCCTCAGATTTTTTCAGTCCTTGCTCAGCTAATGGAGAATCCACTGAGGTAAATTAATCATGCTTTATACATATATTTGCTGCCTACTGATGGTACATGAATCTAACAATGTACACCATGTTGAAAAAAGTCTTAAATGCATTGAAGCTCTGAGAAAGGAAAGAGTCAGGTCAGGGCTGTTGGTAGGGAGTTCTTCATATATTTAGCTTAAAAGTGCAAAGGCTCAGATAGGATGTGCCAAGTGGCACCAGTCTGCTGGCAGAGCTCTTCATTACTACATTAAACTTGGGTTCAGTTTCCAGTCCTGGCATCTTACACCTCATTATTTTGGGAATTGTGAAATACTGCAGAAATAGCATGATCAACTCCTGCACTGACACAAAGTGCTTCTTTTTCTCATTTCACACTCTTTCATCCCAGATAGTTTAGGAGCAGCATGCCTAGGCAGAGAGGGCAAATTTTAGGAAGAGTAATAAAAGAGGTAAACTAATAAATTGAGACTGCAAGATTCTCAAAGTTTAATGGGGATATAAAGGATCCTATATTAGGGAAACAAAGCTAAAGAGAATTATGCCTGTTCAGAAAGTATTGGCTAACTGTCATTTACTGATTCTTCTTAATGCACAGGACATATTCCTCAAATGCCAAATATTCCTACAGTTTCCTTTTCTCAGCTGTCATGAAAGTATAGATCCGTATTCTTATATTGCAAGCTGTATGAATGATCTTTGCAGGTAAGGCTGGAGTTCTTGTGTATTTAATTTTGACATATGAAATGGATGCTCATGCTTTTGTGTGAGACCAGAATGGAACAACGCTGAGGGCAGTTAAGAAGAACCAAGTTCAAAATGAAAGAGATGGGCTTTCTCAGGGGGTGATTTAGTGTGGAAACAAAGGGCACAGAACCAGCCCGCCAAGGGATATTTTGATTGCTAAGGGCTTACATGTATTCGAGGAAATACTAGACAAATAATCGGAAGATAAATCCACGGAGAATAACTAATGACAAAATATGAACTGCTAATCACAAAAAACCTGAAACCTATATCTGAAGGGCCCAAACCAAAAATACATGATACTACTGAGAAATAACAATAATACTGGAGGAGCTGGACCATCTGTCTGATGCAGTTGGACTGAGTAATCACTATGGTTCAAACAAGTAGAATTTTAACAAAATGGTTTTACATATGTAAATTCAGAGTTGTCAAAAGAAATTCAACTCTCGTTTGCTTTGGTGGGAGTCACACCCCCTCAGCTGCTGGCATTGTGTGCAACCTGTTATTTTTCTCTTAGCTCTCCAGACTCCTGATTAGGTTTTGTCATTCAAGTTAAATTTGTAGTCCAGTAATTGAATAGATAACTGAGCAGTGTACTACTTCCTTTGTAGTAAGGTTTTCAAATTAATAAGTAATTGTCATAAATAGTATGATTTTTACGAGATACTATTATGACCCTCTCAGAGTATTATCAGTTTAATCAAAAACATACAGAAAGGATCTCAAGTCAAAACATAAAGATGTCTCAGTATAATCCATTACAACTTATTAGTTCATTTTTGATGGATTCTGAGATACCGTAGAGTCAAGATGGAAGACTTTGTGTTTGTAGGCAAATATCCAAAGTGTCCTTCCTAATGTTTATGATCTGTACATTGATTTCATTTGGAGAAGAGTTGAGTTCCCTCTATATGGTCTCTTTGTAACTCAGGAGTTTACTGTGGCTTTTGAAGAATAATGAAAAGCAAATTTTCAAATTTCAAATAGGGTATTGAATCAGTACGGTGATGTTAAGAGGGATTGGATTTTTTGTCAAAATGCTGCTGTGTGTTGATGTCAACTGTGTGGATGTTAAAAACCTCAAAGTTTCTGTGTCTCATTAATTTAGGCTTATTTTGTTTGTAAAAGAGACCTCTCTTCTTGTGGCTTAGTCAGTTTATGAAGTTTTTTGTGGGGCCATAGTATATGCCAAGTATTCTTTCTACTAAGACCCATTTAATTGGATTAGATAAGGAGAGCTGGAGAGACTGATTACTGTAACAAAGAGTATAGTGCTGTTTGATTTGATAACAGATGTGTTGAAAGCAGAATACAAACACAATATAACATATTTGTAAGACCATTAATTTTGGAAGCATGATCTTGTATGCTAAAAGGCAAACTCAGTTGATCTGTCTCAGTCATGCTTATAACAGAAACGTCATGTTATGAATTGGCATCAAATCCCCCACAGTAAGTGATGTGAGTTGTTGGACTTTCACAGTAACAAAAGGTTGGTGATATTTCACTGTATTGGACTTACATCTGAATACATTCTGAACTTATCTAAACATTAATGAATGTCTCTTTACCTGATCCTGGTAAAAGCGCACTGTAAGCTTCTTCTATACAGACTAAGGCAGAGATATTGACTTTGCCCAAGGTTGTGTTGTAAATACCTGAGCCTGTCCACAGTATTCAGTGGATAATGCTTCTGGTTCTGAGCACTTCAGCACAAGGTCAGGAGTCCACCAACAGGATTCTTCTCACCTAAGTTAACAATCTTACAAGTAATTGGAAATTTGAAGTTCTTGGATCAGAATGTCTTTTGTCAGTGTAGGTCAGAGTTTCTACATCATGCAAGAGGGAGAGAGCCTGACATGGGGATCTTGAGGCTGTTGAGTTGTCCATTGTCTTCAAGAAGAGGTCCTGATTCTCTTTCATCATAAACAGCATTTTTAATTTTTTTTTGTTTTTATAATAGATTAGTGGTTTTGCTCATTGTGGTAATATTAAAATGAAACAACTTTTTGTGAGATTGAATGATAAAAACACAACAGTGTATTCAGCACAGCTCGTTCCTTTTTATATTTTCACTGTGTGCCATTATGACTGAGTGGTGTCAGCTATGTGTGAAATATCCTGTGCAATGTCCCATGGCTGAAATTTGTAGATGAGATTTGAGTTCCATGATTACTCCGTTATTTTATCATTTCAGAGTGGATGATGATGAAACATACTGCAGGGCAGTGACAGAGTACGCTAGAGCATGCTCTCACGCTGGGTCCCCGGTGCGGGACTGGAGGGATGACTTTCCTGCCTGTAGTAAGACTCTTTAATAAAGCATACTATGTGACTTTTGAGATATCACATGTATTAATTTAAAATAATTCCATCTTGCCAACATTTGTCACTACAGAACTCAGACCTGATACTGAAGTTGATCACCAGTTTCACTATTGCTGGCAAACAATGAAGTCAATGACTTGCTAGAAGAATATTTTAATTCCATTGTGATATGATTTAGATCCATACAAAATTCTTGTTTGTGCAGATTACTAGAAACGTCATGTGTGCTGATAATATTCTAGGACAAAGAACAAACATCTGTGGAGATCTGTTATTGCTCCTTGTCCCAGAAGACCTTTCAGCCTCTACTGGCCCTATAACAGAATTAACTTAGTTAATCCAGCTCCTTCTAGTTATCACCACCACCCATCAACTGCAGCTTAGTTATGCAACTTATGCACAGGGCTTTGAACTAGCTGAGATATGAGCACATATTCCTCTGTCACAGAAATTATAACATATTTTGGAGTGGTGGTATAAGAATTTGGTAAAGAAAAGCTTAAATACTGTTGAGAGGTTCACCATAGATCATCAGTTAAAACCCCTCCAAAACATCCATTGTACTTTATCTGACTAACTACCTATACCAGAAGCACTGCACAACTGTTTCTTTGACAGAGGGGGGTTTTCCAGCATGGAAAGAAAAAATTGCACTAATGTTCAATATACCATGGGTTTTTTTTCTAGCTGAGAAGTGTGAAGACAGCTTTGTTCACCGTGATTGTATCAGTTGTTGTCCACCAACCTGCACATTTGAAAAAGATTGTCTTGGCAGCAACTTGCACTGTTTAGATGGCTGTTACTGTCCAGATGGTAAATACTGTCAATGTTACATGAAAAAATACATGTAAAGCTAGTACTCAACATCATAATAAAGTTTGAATAGACCATGCTTAAAATTGAATCCTGAAAATACTAATATTGTAAATTCTGCCCTAGCTGTTATTATTGTCACTGTAATTCTTCCTTTTATTGCATGCTAAACATTTCTCTAGAATAGAGGTATGTCAGCTTGCAATACCAGTTACAATCTGGAGCCATTACTAATGCTTCCTGCAATAAGATGTTGCATAGATTTAGTCCACTTTATTTGAATTATTCCAAAATCTATAGAAATTTTGCTTAAACAGAATTTGTCTTGCTCTGTACAAGACATCAAACTTTCTGAGATCTGTACTCAACAAAAATTATTGACTAGACTATGAACAGTCCTATTTAGAAGGACTAAAGATAATGAGATTTCAGAATCTTTTCATTTTTGAGTCTGTACAGTTTTACATGCTTAAAGCAGACATTTTTCATAAAGCAACGATTCACAGTGACAACTGCTTTTTAGAGAACTTCATTCTGAGCTCATCACTCTGAGCTCTCTGCACTCGCTGGGTGACTGTTTTTGCTGCTTCTTGTCTAAGGCTGGTGAGATCACCTTCTGGCAGATTTAAATGTCAGATGGGGGAAGAGCAGTGATCTGGAGTTTGTTAGTTTGTTTTTTATCTCATTTATTCACTTCTCTCCCAATAGGTCTCATTATGGAAAATGGAACTTGTATCTCTTTGTCGAATTGTCCTTGTACTTATCATGGAACTGCTTTCCCTGTAGGCTCAAAAATTGAACAAGAATGTAGCAACTGGTATGTGAAAGCCTTTGTGCTTCATCTCCCTGTGCCTGCTGTCCATAGTTTAACATCATAGTCACATTTACATTTTAAATAATAGTATCTTGTTTTACAGTCTGAGCCCTGTATATCACTAAAATAAGCAGGCTATTCTATGGAAAGTGGGAATTCAAGGTGTATTAACTCAAACTACTTCTTTTGCTAAAGATCAGAACACTGAAATTCTGTTTTATGATTTTTCTTTTTAGTATTTGTGTTGGTGGCATTTGGAACTGCACTGATCATGATTGCCCAGGTATTTGTATTTCATTATTCTTTTCTCTCCTCACAACAAAAAGGATAAAGTTTTCAGAAGACAACAGAATCAAATGTGATCCAAGGTTTGGGCTGCTACTTTAAGAAGGAAGATTAAGCAGATGGATATTGAGAGTAGCAGTGGGCTGACTGGAGGGAAGCCTGGCCATACTTATCCTACTTTTTCCCACTTGCAACCCTACCTCAATGTGCTACATCCACTTCTTGTTTTCTATCTCCTCTTTATGCTCAATGTTCTTTGTCACAGGTGGTATGTTTCTACTGCATGTGCAGTACCTAGGCCAGGTATAAGGGTCTCCTCACTTCTAGGTGCAACTTTAATGCAAGTAATAAGAAATCTATCATTCTGATGCTCAGTGTGCTGCATTTTCTCTCTTGTAACAGCAGTTTATGTTTGGATAATGATCCTTATCTTTAAAGATAGCATGTCTCTCTAATGAGTTACACAGAGGAACATGCAGCAGTCAGGTAGTGAAACTCCCTTGACAGTTCTGTATCTTAGAAAAGATTATACTGTGAACTGTGTAAAAGAGATATTTTTTTTACAAATTAAGGATCCCTCTCTGTATCAGGTAGTAAGACTTAACAATTGCTAAGCAAGGCTTGACAATATGGATCTGTAGTGTAAAACAGTTGACATTGAGAACTGCTTCATATGCCTTGTGTGTGTTGTGTGTGCATGTGTGTGGGGGGTTAATTATGACTACTCTAGCCTGGTACTGAATTAATGTTAGTAGCAGGAACAGGTTAAATGTGCTCCCACAGAGCACCTCCTGCGGTAGCTGCAGCCAAAGTAAATCTAGTTCATGTGCTTTGATGCTTCCCTGTGGCATAAATGAAAGTACAATAAAGGGGGTTGAGCTGGAAACTTGCTTCAGCAGTGCATTCCTGATTTGAGATGGAAAAAAAAAAGATGTCCCCTTATGACAGACACCTGCAGCTTCTTCATACCTGTGGTAACAAGCAGTGCCATAGTACCTGGAAGAATGGAGAAAAAAGCTTGTCCTCTTTCACACTCAGTCGTGGAAAAAGATGCTGAGAGGAAGATTCTAGGATATTTCTGCATTGTAATAAAGGGAAAAATCTCTTGTATTTTAGAGAAATTGTAACTCAAAGGCATCTCACCTAGTTAGAACCAAAAGATGCTGCACATTAGAGTGTGCAATATGAGATGGTATCTGATGGAAATAGGTGTCTCTAGCATACTTTGTTTTTAAATGCCGTTATAGCTAGACAGATTAAAGTTAGCCTGGATTATGTTCTTAGAAGTAAGGAGAAAGTTTCTTTTTTATCTCTCTTACATAATTTAAAGAATAACGATACATTCTTATGCAAGTGAACATTCTTGTTTATTCTTTCTCTTTCAAGCTGAGTGCTCCATCACAGGTAGCTCTCATTTCACAACATTTGATGGGCGTCATTTTACCTTTCTTGGGATTTGCCAGTACATTTTGGTAAAAGGCAGTGGGAAAAGCAAATTCACAATCACTTTACAGAAAGCACCTTGTGGACAGGTAAGCCACATTTTTCTTGAAATGTTGAAACAAATGGATCCATCCATAATTCAGGTAATTTTGTGTAAGTTCTACTGTAAACTACTGGTTATGTTTAATAGCAAATATAAACTGAAAAAATGTAACAGCTTTTTTTTTTAGTAGTGTTTTTATTGCTACAAGTTGTATTGCCCTTTGTAAAATCAACTGCATCTTTAGAGGGTTAAAGTCTAAAGAGTTATTAATTTACGCACATAAAAAAACTATAAACATCTTCAGTTATGGTACCAACAAAGTCTTAGGCTTTGGAAAAGCTTCTGCTGGCAGCACTGAGCAAGTTTAATATACTACTAGTTAGGCAAGAGATTTTTTTTTTTGTAGCTTTAGATTTTTATTTGGTACATTATAACATATTTAATTTGTTGAAACAATGCCTTTTAGAAAACTATCAATGAGATAAACCACCACACGTATTTGTTTGAAAGTATTTTGACAGGCGTCCAAAAATAGGCTTTAGGAGTAAAGGTGCTTATAAAAAGTACTTATTTGTGAGAGTGGATTTAATGATGCTGTTAGTCACCTAGACTCACAGGAGAAGGGGCTCTGAGATTGTGACTCACAGCTGCCATGTGCTGAGGGCAGGCATGTCTGAACTCATCAGCAGGGAGCAATGCATGGAAGCTGCCCTGCTATGGGGCTGTCTCTTGTTTCCCTTCAAAAGCTAGACTATGAGCCGATGCCTCTGCCTTTTTTGTAAGCACCTCCTTCTTCTGCATAGGTGTTGAGACTACTGTTTCTGCATTTCAGGTGGCCTCAAGCATGGAATGGTTAGTTAGGTAGCCACTGAGAGACAAGGGTGCCACTGGAAACAACTCTTTGCACAACTCTAGGCACCTTGAAAAGTTTTTGGATGAAAACAGAGGGGCCCCTGGGGAGCATAAGACAGTTTAAGCTGATTATATGTCACCTTTTGTCCTGTATTTAGGTTCATAAATTTTGCTTGGATTGCATGCTAAAATGATGTAGATAGTCAGATATTTATCAATTACTGTAATATAATTCTGGAGAATTTATATCCTTCTGGTCTGTAATCAGAGATCATCACTACATTTCTAAATGGCAAGCACCTTCACGTGTGCAAGAGTTTCTTTTTCCTGTATTGCTGCATTTGTGGTCTGATTGCACCAGCTTGATATAGATGGGATGGGACTCTGGCTCAAACACTGTTTAACCTACCGATGAGCTGTACCTTGGGTGGCCATGCAAGTATGGCATGTTGAACGCAGTAATAGTACTTGGGGACCTCTGTCCACTTACTACTAGACTGCCACGGTAGCTAAAATGTTTAATGCTTTGAGTGATAGTTTACAACTGATTTGCCTAATGACAGTTCTGTTATTTCCTGTCTATACAGAAGTTTTTTTCCCCTGTTTGTTTGGTTTTGTTTTCCACTGTAGTATTAATTTCATTGCCTGTTTCTGATGGTGAAACTTGTTTCTACTTAGAACTTTGACCACACCTGCATTGAGTCTATAACACTAGTTCTTGAAGATGATGTGAGGAAACAAGTTACTCTCACAAGATATGGTCAAGTCCAAACTGTCTCTAATCAAGTTTTTAACCTCAATGGTAAGAAGTGCATAGAGAAGAATTTTACCAGGGTTCACATTCTGTCTCTCGTATTCTCCAAAACTTTTAAATAGTATCTGTCTATGAAAAGGGAATTTCTTCAAATCTAACTTATGAAGTGTACAATCACTTCATAGGACTTTAGTAATAATTATAGAAATGTACTTTGAAAATCTGTGAAACAGTCCTTCATTATGCCTTTTTTTCCTTTGCGTTTCTTATCTTGCATAGTACCTAGAATTTCCACTTATTTTGTTTGTGTTCGGGGGAAGGAGGTAAGAAAAAGAGAGAAGGTGTAGAGAGGTTGGAAATCACCTCGATGCTGATGTTAAGGTCTAGCTTGTTTAAAGCTTTTTAAAATAAATAGCATGGAATAGAATCCCTGTGCTCCATGGGATCTACATGGATATCAGTGCTGACTTATATTGTGATTTCAGACAGGTTACTTCACCTTTTTGAAAAGGATAGTAAAATAAATCAACCTTAAAAACGCATTATAAAATTAGGTACTGAAGGTAAAAATAATATTGTTAAATTTTGTAAATTATAGTGAACCAGTTACTGGATTTTTAGTCTCTTTCTGAATAAGTAAAGTGGGATTAAAGCCCTTTTCCAGACTCCAGAAGAACAGAGTTTAGGGAGTTCTGTGCTAGTGGTTACAGTTATGTTCTTTCTTCATTGAATTTTTAAGATCACAGTTCTGCTTTTGGCATTCAAGACTTCCTATGGCAATGAGTTAAATAGCTTATTATGCCTTCTGTTATGTTGACAGTTCTGCTTCCTAATTTCTTTGGTAATTTCATTTTATTTCTTTTGAATCAGTCCCTACTCACTTTCTTGTCTCTCTCCATAGTCTGTAACAAATATAATCTATGACAAATCTTTTGGTGTCACATGCTTGATAATTGTGTGTAACCAGTAAGTCTTATTGACTAAGAACATCCTTAAGCATTTTATCTTCCTTTTCTCAGTTTATGCACCTAAGGATGTATGTGTGCATGCATAGAGGCTGCTTGTGAAGGTAGATCCACTTTTAGCCTACAGCTGCAAGTAGCCCGACAATGGTAGCAAATAATGCTGTGACTGTGAAATTTCCATTTCCTCACATAATGGATTTGCTGGGAAGGAAAGCTGAGAATTTGATAGGGGCTCATACAGTCCAAGTAAGGAGCTATACTGATGTCATATCAATAGAGGTAGAGAGAACCTTCTATCTAAAGATTACACTTCACAGATACCTGTTAATTAATTTTATAATATCCCTGGAGACTAAGAAATGAGCCAGAGGCTTGCATTTGCAGTGTTTTCTTCTAAAATTAAAAAAAAAAAAAAAAAAGCAAATGTGGTTCCTAGATAACTCACAGGCTCACAGGTACAGAAAGGTGAGACATTTTTTATTGTTGACAGTAATTGCAATTCCTGATTTCTGTTGTTAATGGAAATAAGCTCAGACACAGAGTGGGTATGGATATTTGGCTGATGGTGAGTTTGCACATAGTTTCTCATTTTATTTCTGAGTTTTCAAAATCTTTTTTGTTTAATGGGTAAACCAGTGCAACCTGGATGTTAGATTTCAGTGACTTTGTTTTCTTTTTCTTTTGCTATGTTCAGGGGCTATTGAAATTCAGAATATATCCTCTTTCTTTGTTCAACTGAAAACTAGTTTTGGTTTGAAGATACTGTTTGCTAAAGATGGAGAGAGGATCTATGTTCAAGTTGATGTCAGATGGAAAAGAAGAACATTAGGACTATGTGGAACATACAATGGGAATTTAAGAGATGATTTTCTGTAAGTTGCATGTTGTGCGTTTAGATTGTGTTTAATAACAAGTGAAAAGTTTTGTTGAACATAATCATCAGATTATTTAATTTCATTGACATGCTCAAACATTATTAAATTAACCCATTAAAAAAATCTTAACTAAAATGGTAGTCACTTTTTAAAATCTGAAAGTCATAAATTCAGGCATTCTAAGATGTTTTACTAAGTAATTATAGAAAGCTACTGTTTAATTTATAGAAGGTATGGGATGATGATATTGCTTGAATGCACGTTTCCCTTCCTGGATGCTCCCTTGTCTTCAGAGCAAATACATGAGCACTGACAAAAAGAGTGGGTGATACTACTTGTATCATCCTCACATAGTTCACACTTACTTCTGCTTGATTTTTTTTCCTCCACATCAATTTCCAATGTAAAAAAAAATGTAATTCTGAACTACAGAAATATTTTAATTAGAAGGGCACACTTTTCTTATTCTTTTACCTTATTTCCTCCAAAGTTCCTCAAGCTATAATGTCACAAAACTTATCTAGCAATAATAAATGCTTCTGAAATACTTGGCGCAAGCCAGCATCAAAATGCAAACAGCCCCGCTATGGAACACCAAAATTGGCCTAACAGGTCATTCCATTTACATACTTTAATAAAGGCCAAATCTCCTCTCACTAATGTCTCCTCCAACTAATTTCAGAGTACTTAAATTAAGCCTAAGTGAAGGCAGACTTTTCGTGTAAGATTGTTTTCACATGACTAAAATATTGAGGAAGAAGTTTCACATGCCCTCTCTTCTTTTATACCTCACAGGTGGAAATTCTTCTGGCATGCTGATTGTTCAATGTGACTATGCATCTAAGCCTTTTTAATGTACTTGCATCCTCGCCCATGTAGTCCCTAAGGTCAGCAGGATGCTTGCAGTGTTGATCTTTTCCTTTCAGGTCTCCAGCAGGGATGATTGAAGGGACCCCACAACTTCATGCCAATGCATGGAAAGTTTCCTCAGCTTGCTCCGTGCCTATCAATATTCCTGTGGTTGATCCCTGTAACGTTAATCAGCAAAATGGTATGTTTTCACATGAGATTAGGTGTATCTTATTATTATGGGACATTTTTTGTTTTCTCTGTGAAGAAGTTGCACATACATGTATTTCAACTTCAGGTTTAGATGTGCACTATTTCTCTTTTTTTTCAAAGACCATTTTTTCCATACATATGGCATTTAAAATGAAGCAAGTACTTGATAAATACAAGCTAGTTGGTAATTTAGTGCTGGGTGTACTGGCCACGATTACTAAATTTTGCTGTCTAATACACATGCAGAGTGCTAGACAGAATTATGTAAATTATACCAGTCAAGAGGAAAGATATTTGTAGATGCATGTTTGTAGATCAACAAGAAAGTACAGGAGAAAGTGTTAAGATCAAAAGTTCTGTCTTTGGCTTCTCCATGCTTGTTGCATTAAAAATTTCCTTATCCTCCATCTATGTTCTCTGAGAAAAACTGAAGCAATAAACTGAGAGCCTTGGATTTGTTCAAATTCCTGAGTAAAGATTTAGTTTTGGCTGGTTGACATGCCTATGGTTTCTGTTGAACTTTCACTGTCTCCTTTTTGCATTGCTGTCCTTTTCAATTAATGAAGACAATGGGTAGGCTGTAGTGGCCAATTCTGAGAGAATGTAGTCTAATGTTTTTAATGTTTCAGACATAAGACCTTACTAAAGATGTGTGATTTATCCATATTTAGAGCCTGTGGGAGCAAACCTAGAATAACCCTAAACCTCTGACAATGTGGGGCATTCTCAGACTTTTTATGCCTTCCACATTGTCTGTCTTCTAAAGCAGTATGTCTCAGCTAAGTTAGCTCTTCCCAAGGTCCTTTATGCCTCACCTTCAGTTATGTGCTGCCTCAGTGAAAGTGGAGTTTGACATAAATGTAAGCTGCCTAGAGCAGGAGGGTGGACAACATGACCTTCTGAGGGTCCTTTCCAGCCTAAATTTCCCTACAATTCTGTAATAATCACTGGGAAAAAGCAGTGGAGAATAAAGTGATCCACCCTATGCTACAAGCACAAGCATCTTTTCCAGGTCTATGATGATCTTGATCTGATGAAAGTAAAAATCAATGATTGTTTGTTTGTTTGTTTACTTATTTTGTCTGGTTAATTTTCAACCAAGTCAAGTTCAGGCCTTGGATCTAGTTTTCTGAGAGACTCTGTAAAATGTGAAATCCTTGTGCCACTGTGTGTATGTGGAAATGAACAGAGAGTCTGAAGGGTAGGGACACTCTTTTAACAGCAAAAGTGGCTTAAATATGATCCACACTAGTGGTGTTCCTTAGATATTCCACCACTTGTGATGGTAGTCCACCTCAGTGGTCAGAGGAGGGTTTGCTGGTGCTAGAAAATATATGGCCAGCTTTGGATTTGCGTGCCCTCAAGCTCTAGTTTGTAATACTTCCTGAAACCACACACTAAAAAGTATATGGCCATTGTTGATTTTAAAGCTAAATGGAATGTCAAGTACAAAGAAACATATTCCAAGCTTTGAAGGACTCTTCTAACTACTCTTTTGAAATATATTATTTTGGCATTTAAATTTCCTGTACTATTAGAGGAAGGCATAACTGTTTAAGTATAGTTATTTTTATCTTAAGTGGAGTTTATTGTTGAGGGAGTTGCTTATAATATCAGTTTTAAACTATAGAATTTTACAGAAAGACATTGTGCGATAAACCTGTGCAAGGTTTTATTGCACAGCTGGCTATATTTGGTTTTAATATTCTGTGCTATTCATTTGACTAACTGTTAAATTAAAATGGATCTGGCTAAAACAATGTCATCTTGTCTTAGCTGAGTATGCATCTCACTGTGATATCATCAATCAAGACGTTTTTGCTCCCTGCCATGCCTACATCAGTCCAGGGTTGTACTACCAGCTGTGCCGCTTTGACGCGTGCAAATGTGGGAGCAGCTGTTTGTGTAATGCTTTGGCTCACTATGCTTACGTCTGTGGCAAGCACGGGGTCATCGTTGACTTCAGATCTCATATTTCTTACTGTGGTGAGTAACATTTCCATAATGGAATATCTTTTAGAAATATCTGAAATTCTACAGATATCATTTGTTCTACAAAATGTACTTGATCTTTTTTTCCTGGAAACTAGGATTGTGCCATGGTATAACGATGTACTCAGGGAGAATAATAGCCTTTACATTAGGCATCTGAGTTGGAGCCCCTGAGCTGGTTCACGGGGAGCGTCTTCCCTTTCTGTTGGTTACAGAGAGAATTGAAACTTCTTTGAACCCCTAAGTCATATGGAAGCCCCTATTAGGCAGAAGTAGTCAGGGAGTGGCAGGATTGGGGCTGTTCCATAAGGGAAGGCAAACTGGGCTGGAAGGGGCACCCGAGGTTGGGCAGTGATTGCCAAGCAGGATACAGTAATGATTTAAAACAAGACATTTCACAGAATCATAGAATATCCTGAGTTGGAAGGGATCCACAAGAATTATGGAAGTCCAACTCCTGTGTTTCAGTTTCTAAGCCATACAGTAATGCCTCAGCCTTAACTGGACCATTTTATTTCTCTTGGAAGCCTGAGTTACTAGATAGATGCCCTGTTTAACATATATAAGACACCCACTGCTTACAAAATAGACATTTCCAGTCAAAGAATTGTTTAACACAAAACCACCTGAATCTAAACATTTCTAGCTTAAGAAATCAGTAGAACAGCATATTTTCCTCTTGCTTTTCAACTAAACCCAGTTCAGCAAGACACCATTTTGCTTTGATTTTTTTACACTCCCATGATACTGCTTTGTTTTCTATTTTTCACATATTAAGAGTATGCTGTTCTCCCTTCTCTCTCTCTCCCCTCCAGCTGTAATGTGTCACAGTGGTATGCTTTATCATCAGTGCTCTTCTTTTTGTAAACACTCCTGTGCTTCACTTTCTATGGCAAATATCTGTGGTGATGACTGTGCAGAAGGATGTAATTGTCCTGATGGGAAATATTTTGAAGAGTCGGTCAACTTTTGTGTATCAATGTAAGTCATAAGAAAATAGCATATATGTATAGGCACATTTTCCTCTTTCCAGTGAGATTTAAAGCAGCTTTTCTGCTGTTTCCCTCAAGATGTAGACTGCCTAAAGAAGATAGCAAACAATATGTGAATATTTCATATTCTTTTTACTAATCAATAGCAGGGCCTCATCTGATACTGTGTGTACATATATCTACTGCACTTCAGAGCAGATATATCAAACTGCTTTAGAGAAGAACGTTGAAACTTTTTTACTTCATGGGAAAGCATTTTCACATGAAGACCTTGTTTTTAATACTTCAGAAAAAAATGAGAAGGAATCTATATAACAGCGATCCATAAAGGGTAGGATGGAAAGAGTGGCTAGGAGTGTCTTTTTTTATGTCTTACAATGCAAACTCCTTCAGTTAAATGGAAGGAAATGATCAATGAGAGGAAATAGTTTTTGTACGTTGTGTACCAAAATTTTACAGCTTACCATCATGGGTAGTTACTCAGTTCAGATACTGAATTAAAAACTGGAATGGGTATTTATATAAATTTCAAGATTATAGAGAGTTATTTCTGTTCATTGCAGCATATATTTTGGAAAGCTCAGTAAAATTCATACTATAGGGATAAAGACTGTCTCAAACTATTAAAGAGTGCAAGGTACCTTGTTAATCACATGTTTTTCCACAGTGTCTAGGTAATTCAGTTGCTACTTTTAACCCATCTGGCTCTTATCACAGACAGAGTTAATGGATTTTGCTATGAGAATTGCTCTATTCCGTGATTTGGACAATGCTTTGAATGGGAACTACATGTTGTCATTCTACTCCCATAACTGGGAAGAAAAATTACATTAATGCACAGAAACAGCAAATAAATAATACAGAGATTGAGGAAAATCCTGGCTTTGTTGAAGACGATAGGAGTTTTGCCACTGAGTTCAGCGCAGTTTGAGTGTCATCATTAAATTTTTGTCTTTCAAAGAAAGATTGAGGATACATACAAGGATTGAGTTAATGAATTATAAGGCCTGCTTATCATAATAGCTTGATAAATGAATGGCCCTTAAATCCCATTTCATCTTGCTTTTGTAGCTAAATGCGTGAATATTCTTTTAACAGATCTGCCTGTCATTGTCATTACAAGGGCAAAGCCCTCCAGCCTGGAGAAATCCTCTCTACGCCAACAGGCTCCTGGTAGGTTTGAGTGCCAAAAGTTTTATCTTTCGTGTATTACAGTTTGGATGCTACTTTAAGAGACCTGAGAATTTTTTTCATGTAGAACGAAGGTTTATTGTATTGAGATTTTATTTTAGTTATATGCTTAGTAAAAGGGAGCCTAATATAAATTGGATTATGTACCTGATTATTTTAACAAGATACCTGGAAAATTCTTTCTCCTTTTGATTTCTATTGTTTTAATTGGGTTGAGTTGTACTATCTTTTTAAACATGGTGGCTACAAAACATTTTCCCGTTGAATAAACATGGGTTTCCTTTTCTTTTCCAGTCAATGTTTGAACGGAACAGTGAAATGTATTGAAGCCAGTACAGAAAATACAGGTCATTTACAGTCTTGTCCCATATTAAAGTTGCACAGAGAAAGATTTTGACGTTGAATAGTCATTTGGTTTTCTCCTCATATGTATTTTCATCATGAGATGCTTAATGTCACAACTTATTTAAAATAAGCAGTAAAGAGCACAAGCTGTTTTGGTTTTTTTTCTTTTTTTTCGTTTTTCTGTAGCACAAATTGTACTGCTAAGTCACTTGGGAAATTAAAAAAATAAATAATTGCATGTGACTTCTAGATCAATGTGTTCTCATGGGAACACCTATAATTAGGCTCGCTATTCACATTTAGGAAGCCTTAAGATCTTGATTTCTAGAAAGTAAATTTTTAATGCATTTCTAATAAATTTAAAAGGGATTTCAATACACCCAAAATTATGCCACTTCTAAAGAGTCTTTCTACCTAAGGCATAATTATTCCATCTTTAAGAATGAACTGTGTATCAGATCCAGGGTGCATAGATCCAGATGCTTAATATTATGTTTTGACCTTTGTTTTTCCATTAGAACAAACATTAATTTTATATCTCTGTAATATAGATTTTGTTATAAACGTCTGTTCAGATTGCATTCTTATGTGTACTGTAATGTAGGCTCACTGTACATTAAAATAAATAGTTTCTGAACAATACCAAATAGAAAACCTTCACTGTAAAAGAGCAGTTGATCTCATCTAACCTGCATTTTGCATTTGAAGTTCACATATGCCCAGATGGAAAAATCTACTATGACTGCAGATCTCCTGTGCCTGGATTACCAGCAGCAGGTGTGAATTGTGGGATCTCTTGTGCAAACCTTGCCATGAACTTCTCCTGTGTCCCCTCTCCACCCTGTGCAAGTGGCTGCATTTGCCCCCCTGGGTAAGCTTTGATGGAGCAGCTTGGAGCACAAGCCAAATACATATTTTCCACAGTTCAACTCTGCTTAGGTTTTTTTTCTTTTTAAATTCCAGTGGTATCGCACCTCTAATTTTGAAACTATTGTTCCATAAACACACAGTAACAGTTAAAAGGCCAACTCTTTTTTTGTCTTCAAGAGCCCTTTTCTCCTTCTTGCTGGTGTAAGGCTCCATGCTGTAATCCTGCCTCAGTTGAAGTATCACTGTTTCTCCATGCAGAGACCATGATTCCACTAACCCATTAGATATCCAGCTTACTCTCTGTTTTTTCTCAACATTCCATTTTAATTCACTATGTGTGTAGCCAATGGTCTCAGTTGTGTGCAGATCAGAGTGTAATGAGACTGCCAGAATTCCCTTCCAGCACCTTGTGATGTTCTTAGATAACTAAGCACTGGTGAAGGACAGATTTCACTAATTGTTCTTGTCTGGTGTTCTGTAGTCCTCTACAACCTCTACCTCAACTGAGAAGTTAGCTTTCAAGACCATTAGTGTTATAAGAATGAACAATTATTTTTAACACAAAAAAATGCATAAAACTGTACAAGTAGTAAACTAGTAAATTTTTACTGAAACATCACCATATTTGCATGAACTTGAACTAGCAGTATTGACATGAAAGTTCATTTAAAAATTTGAAGAAATTAAAGTATAAGTTAAAAACCTAGATCTCAATCCCTACTCTCACAGTCATACCATTTCAAATCAAGTATTACTTGATTATTTTCTGAATTATAAACTATAACTGGGGTACTGACAAGCCAAATCCCAAGTTTCTACCCAATAACAGAGTAAAAGGCATGAATTATTTTTATTACATAAGAGAATAAACACTTATTTTTCTATTAGGTGGAAAATTAAATGTATAACATTTAGTGCAGTTAGTAATATTCTCACTGTTAAATGGTATTTCTGGACCCATTATGACTTTCAGGCTCATGGTTCCAAGAAGTGAGTATGGCTTTTAGCTAGGAAGGGGCAAGCCAGATTATCCTAAAAATTAGGTTCAGAAGTTTTATTTTTATACAAGAAAATGTTAAGCGTATAGCTCTTGATATTAAATCTAAGTGGACAAGTCATGAAAACCTTGTTATGAGACATTTTACTGTAATGTCAATTTTTTATTATCTTGAGATGCTGTTCTTCTCATTGTTTCTCCTTTCTCACCTTATTTCTACCACTACCCATTGTTTGACTGAATGACCTAACATTTTGGGATGCAATCTTGAATTCTTCTGGAGACTGGCACCTTATTCTAGCATCCTGGGTACTTATGGTGCTTGTAAAGTAGAGGAGATTGTGTGTAGTACTGAAACCCTTTCCTTTGGAAACCCATGACAAGATGGACTCTAGTACGCAAAAAATGGTCTTCTTAAATGAAAAATGTTTTACATTTTCTGTTGTTAAAATTCTTGCATGATAGCTTGTTGTTCTTATAATCAGTAGCTGAAGAGGTGACAAATTATTAGAAACTCAAAGTCTCTTGTATGCTTTAAAAATGGAATAAAACAGCACAGATTTTCATGAGGAAATGAACTGAGAATGACTGTAAATTCATCACCCAAAGATACACTGAAAATCATCCTTACGCTGAGCTGGAGATATAAGAGGCTAAATTGAATTGTAGAAGTATAGAGGACTAGTATGGAAAGGGATCCCATGGGCCTAAATTATTCTCCTGCCCTTAGGGCAGCATCAGCAACACCTATGTTATTCTTGACAGATATTTAACTTCTATTGACAGAGACTCTGATCTTCTCAAGCTATCTGCTCTGGTGTTTTCCTATCCTTAGTAATTTTTCTGGACACTTGACTCATTTACTTAAAGCTGATTCTTGTTTATTGAACCAGTGAAGAAAACTTTAAGCTGTGTATTTTCTTTAAACTTTCACTTCAAGTGAAAAAATCTCAAGATCGTACTTTGAAAAACATCTCTGTACTTTCAGCCATGTGCTGCAATGACAACTACAGGAATTGTTCCCCTAAAGAGAGAGCAACACTGGGAGTGTCAGTAATTTTTTTAAAAAAGTTAATGTTGCTAAACAGATGGAAATGAGGAGATAGCAAAAAGTTGTTGACCACATCTCTGGATTTCTTATTCATAATCTAATTAGATTTGACAATCTTTGCATTACATGCCTCTGTTTTGTTGTAACCTTTCTGGTTGTTTCAACTTCCCTGGTGTAGGCAGATAACCTCCACCATGGCCCTTTGTAAATTGTGTTTCTTTGGCTATGGCAGAGTTCTGCTAACTCTGCAACAGCTGCCATAGCCCAGCTCACTGTTCTGCACTCAGAACAGGACAGTTGCTGCAGCCTCAGCATCTTGCATGATACACAGGTGCTCTGCAGTTTTCAGGGAGTACCTACATTACCTACGCTCCTGCATGGGAGCTGCTGCCCCACACCAACATACCCCTTTCCAGATAGAAGGATAGAAGGACCTAGTGAGGTCTTCAGCTGTGCAAAGTGGAGATCATTTGATGTGGACAACTTCTGCTGATGAAACAATTGTCCTTGGCTGGATGGAAGACCGGTTGCCCTCAGTGGGGTTTAGACAATACAGTACATATTCAGTTACGTTGATCTGCTTGTGAATTTAGTCTTTTGTCTTCCTAATTCTTTTATTTTAAAGGATGGCTGAGCATAGAGGGAAATGTTATATTCCTGATAGTTGTCCATGCACCTGGAAAGACAGGGAATTTCTGTCAGGAGAAGTGATAGCTACACCATGTTACACCTGGTGAGTGACATTCATTTTGCATACTTCCAAATCATCTGGATCTCTTAGACCCAAAGTAAAACTGATACAGAAAATTTGTTGAATACTTTTAAATCAAAAATATGCTTTTTTATAGACAGTTACAGGATACATCTTTTATTAGGTTCACTAATAGACTTGGATAAGTAGGAAGACTTTGGGGGGAGTGCTTCTTCAGATCTGTAAAGTAAGCTGAAGATATCCAAGCTAAAAAGCAGTCAAACCCAAATGCTTAATTCTACACATGTTAGTTAATCTCTGAAAGAAAAGACATTTGGCTTCTGGAGAATAGAATATCAGGAAAGACAACTAAGGAGAGAAAAAAAGAGAGATTAAATGTATGACAGTAGTAAATAGTCTACTTATTTGGGAACTGGACTCTTTGCAGTGTAAGTTACCAGTTACCATGAGTGACTGTATAGGAAGAAGATGAGCAACTTAAAAAAAAAAAAAAAGGCCATTAGAATTGAAAAATGAGCTAGCACACAGCATCTTTTTAAGGAGCTTTACCTGATATATACTGACACAAACCAGTTTTTCATTAATTATAATTTGCTAGCCAAAATATCTGTATTCAGTTAAGTATACATTTAATAATGAAAAAAAAAAGATTGGCTTGGCAGCTTTCAATCAGTTAAAAATTTCATTGGCAAATCAAATGAGCATTTACACTTACACTAGCAAAACTAGAGGATGCCAATACTACATTTGTACAAATTTGTGTAAACCATTGAAATTAGCTGACAGGAATAGTATTCCTGCAAAATATCAACATTAATTTCTTAAACTCATTCCATACTTGTCTGATAACCTGAAATCTTACAGATAGCAACTGGAAGTATTTTGCTTTGAATATATACAGACCTTTATCAAAATTCCTTGAGACAAAAGTAATATCCATGTTTTATGAACGAGCATGTTGTGGCCTGGTGTCTTAGCTATACTGGAGGCAGTGATGGAAATATTAACATAAGCCATGAAAAGTTTGAGATTTGAATTTATTTCTTAGGCGTTTTTACTGTTCATATGGGCTGATGGTAAAATGTTCAACACTTTTCTGCCATGGCATCACCAGTAACTTCAGAAGCGATCCACAGAATAGCTCTCTGTTTCAAGAATTTTCTTCCGTTCATGAATTTCTGCATGATTTGAAATAAAGAACCCAAGAAAGCTTTTTTTTAAAATATACAGAAAATAATCCTGTTATGAGAAGATAATGATTATTAGTTTTCCCTACAGTGTTTGTCGGAGAGGCATATTCAATTGCACCAGTTACCCCTGTCCTGCTGTATGCACTATTTATGGAGATCGGCATTATTATACCTTTGATGGACTGGAATATGATTATGTCAGTGACTGCCAAACTTACCTGCTAAAGGTAAGAGGATTGTTCATACATTTCTGTGTGTCCAAGTGAAAGTTTCCATGAAAGAACAAGTATTTTGAACACTGGGAGTTGATCTATAGAAACAAACATTAAGAAAACAGGTGTAGGAACAGGCGTGAAGGAAGAATCTGTAAATGACATTTTGTGCTCAGCTGTTTGAGAACAGTAAATGGTTGTGTTCTTGCATATCTACGTGGTTTAGAGAAAAATCAAACCCAGTGTTCTCTGTTCTACCTCAACCTTGCTTTCATCACAATGAGCAAAGAATAACACTATAGAAACTGTTCAAACTAGGTATAATCTATATATATTTAATAATTATCTATAAACCTGGCTTGGCAGAGGGTCAGTGATTCCTTGGCAGAGGGTCAGACCTCTGGCTGCTTGGAATTCTTCTTGAATGTGATCTGCATCAGATCTGGATTTTATGTGTATAATAATATCAAACACAATGATTTCATAATTCAACAATGAAATCATTCGTTGAATTTGTCTGGCCGCTACATGCTAATGTTCCTCACAGCACACATTTACAGTACATTGCTAGCCTTTTTCGTTTAAAAATACAATTACTGACATTTAGAAATATATTCTATTACTAAACGCACTATTGTTTATTATCATTGTTGCTATTTTTAAGGTGAAGAGTCTGTATTCTCAATTACAGTAATATGTTTAGAAGAATACTCCTTTTCCTGACTGTCTAACCTTAAAAAAAACCCCAGTTTCTCAACAAGGACTACTACAAATAGTTTATTTGTTGTATGCTTTAGTAGAGTATTCACAGCTGTGAAATAAAGTAAATTGGTTCCAGATTTTTGAGTTTGGTTAAAAAGAAAAAAAAGAAGAGAGGTTTGGTAAAGATAATAATACCTTAGAGCAAACTCTTATATAAAAGAGCTCTTACTCTTAGAGGTATATGAACCTTTGTACAAACTTTCCTCCACCAAGATGTAAAAAACAGGGATTACTTTACCTGTAAAATCTTCTTGCCTGTATGATGAGATGGAAAGGTGGCTCGTCATTTCGTAATTCTTATGCTATCCACTCAGACAGATTTGTAAGACAAATCCATGCTGCTTTTTCAAACTTTAGTGTGATACTGGAATTTTTGGCTTTTACAATCAAATGTAACCTGCCACTCTACTGTGTAAGAAAAAACCTACCTGAAAACAAACCACGGGAAGCATTTGTCATCTGAGAATAAAGTTGGTAGGCAGATAATTAAAGCACGTGGCACACTGTGGCCAATGGACCATTCTTCAGGTGAACATGACAAAAGTGATGAAAATGCTGCCTACATGGATCGCTTTTAAGACTTCTCAGACTTTTTTCAGCTTTTCAAGCTTTATTTTTTCCCCAAACTCAGCAAATTTGTTCATAATTTTTATTTCTTTGTTAGTATATGGAAAACTTTCCTGATCTATATTAAAGATCAGGAAAGAGATCCTGATCTCTATTAAATTATTACAGATTAGGCACGGCATAATTATATCTGGAACAGGTGATGTATCTGTGGGCTAATTTTTGACTGTGAAATGTTTGGAGTATTTTTAGGGGGGAAAAAAAAGGAAAAAAAACAAAGGATGGGATCATATGGCAGATGCCCAAGAGCTTTGAGGGAACTAAAACACAGAACTGATGAACTATGTGATGTGCAATCCTAGAATCAGAGGAATGGAAGATGGCAATATAACCAAATATTTTAAAAGGACTTATTGACTGAATTTGACAAGAACAGACCAATATGTCTGATTTACATATGAAGGAAATTCATATAAATTATAATAAAGAGAAATTGCAACTAAGGAAGAGTTGCCCCCCCCCCTTTTTTTTTAATAAAAGAAAAAATTCATGCATGATCAATCTTCTGAGTTATTCCAAAGACAATAAATATATATGGATGAGGATAGTCAAGTCAATGTGTGTGTATTTTACCTTAAAAACCTTTTTGAGAGAGATTTCAACAAATATTTTTTAGAGACTAGTTTCTCATAGGATGAAAATGAGGATTCTTTGAGACATGAAGTCACAGAATCACAGAATGGGTAAGGTTGGAAGGGACTAACAGGGGGTCGTCTGGTGCAAGCTCCCTGCTCAAGCAGGGTCATTCCAGAGCACATGGCATAGGATTGCATCCAGATGGGTCTTGAATATCTCTAGTGAGGGAGACTCCATAACCCTTCTGAACAATCTGTTCCATTGCACAGTAAAGTTCTTCCTCATATTCAGATGGAACTTCCTGTGCATCACTTTCTGCCTGTTGCCTGGCACCATGAGAATAGCCTGACTTGACACCCTCCCTTCAGAAACTGATAGACATTGATAAGGTCCCCTCTCAGTCATCTCTTCTCAAGGCTGAACAGGCCCAATTCCCTCAGCCTTTCCTTGTAAGAGAGATGATCCAGTCCCTTAATGGTCTTTGTTGCCCTCCGCTAGACTAATTAATAGTCTGAAGTTAAAAGACAGGAATAAGTGGCCTTTGTTTTTTAGAACAGAAAAATCCTGGTGGCATCACACAGGGATCTGTGCTCAGACCTGCATTCAGCATCTTCAGAAACAATTTTGAAAAGGTGGCGTGAGGATTGAGGTAGAGTATGCTGATGATAAAGAATCAGTCTGAACAGCTGAAACAAAAGGTTCAGAAGATCTTATGGCAGAAAACACTACATAATAAAATGGAAGATGAAATTCAACAGTGAAATATGCTAATCAATGAACACAAACCCCCCCTCGTAACTACACTAGCATGAAGATAGGCACTAAACTATCTACTATTATGCAGGAATAGAATTTTATGCGAGAAAAATAAATGAAACAGATGTAATTGACATCTTCATAGTGGCAACCTGAGTGATAATCTGGTGTCATCTGTTCTGCAATTTCACATATGCTTTTATTTGCATGTACACAGTTACACTACAGTTGTACCACATACTGATGTGTTTAAACTACATTATATATGCAGACTTGATGGCATAACGAGGTTGCTCTTGTTTGAAATACACTTTTGTTCCTAGAGTAGAGGTTTTGATGTCTCTCTCTTTCTAATCTCCTTCCCCTGTATTGTGGCCGAGTGAATACATTTTTAATAGTAGTATCTGAGTAATATAATGAGTCTACCTTGAGCTACTATTTGTTCAGAAGGTATGCAAGAGAGTCCTGTCTCTTATAGCCTGTTATCCAAACAGGGAAGCTTGATGAAAGGTGGGAAAATATATATATATATAGCTGCAAAAGTTTAAATGCCTTGCCTAACATCTTGGCAGGCGCAGCTGTCCAGGGCAGCAGCAGGGCAGCACCTAAACCATGCAACCTGTTCTACAAACCAACTTTTTCTTTTTTTTTTTTTAGTACAATCACAGAATCATAGAATGATTTGGGTTGAAAGGGACCTTTAAAGATCATCTAGTCCAATCCCCCTGCCATGGGGCTGTGTGTGCTGTGTGCTTCATGTTCCTTGCCTGTAAGGTACTACAGAACATCGTAGATTTGATAGCTGCTAGTACACATTTCATTGATTTAGTGGTAGTTTGCAGTGCTGTTACAAGGCTGGTTTTTATGAATAAGGTGTGAAATGCTCACCAGACACTTGAAATTAAAGCAGCTGAAGTGGTTGTAATATTGTATATACAACATTGTATATACAATATTTGTATTTGTCCTTTCACTTTTACTAACCTTTTTCCTGTGAGAAGTGGACAGCTTTGTCTCTGCTAACTTATATACTCTAAACAAAGGTATTGTAGCAGTGCAATAAGGGAAGTTATAGCTACAATAAATTAGTTGGCATACTAGCTCTTCCCAGATGTAGAAATGAGTGCAACAATCTGAATCTGATGTCCTTAGAGGCATGATAATGTGTGGTTCCCATACATGTCACCAGCCCTCACTGTTTGATTTGGCCATTGGCTTCCCTAAATGTGATCTGTCAGAACAACTGTTTGATTTGCCATTGTATTGCACTGTACCAAGCAAAGAACTCACCCTTACCTTTTATTATGTTTTAATAAGGAGCTCTTGTGCTCTTGTGGGAGAAAAATCAAGTATCAACTTCCAGCCAATTATGAAACTTCAAACTTTGTTTTCAACATCAGTATCATCTGTCAGGCCTTTTTGTTTAAGGTGACAGTAGGTGTATGAAAAAGCCCTTTATAACTAGTTCAACAGATATATCCATCTCTCAGAAAATTGCCAAGAAGATGTAATGCAGCAATTAAGAAAACTAGGGCAGTAATGTCTCATGAAATGATATCATCATCCTTATCAAGGAATTAGGAGTTACGTTACACACCAAGAAGTCCCTGTATAGATAGATGACATTCACAGAGAAGACATCAATATTTACTTCTAATATTTTAAAACCTCAGTAATTTCAAAGGTAAAAAAGAAAAAGTCTTAGCAGACCAACTTGTTTATCAGTGTAGATCATGAAAACACTTCATTTTATCTAATCTAAATATGAATGATGATTTTAAAGTCAGTTTCTTAATTAAAAGTTTTTAAATATCTTGTTTTCTTCTATTTTTTGCTTATTTTTTGTCTTTGACGATACTACATTCTTTCCCAAACAAAATGGTGTTATTTTTCTGATAAACTTTTACTATGTGTTATTAGTAGTTGTGGTCTCTTTCTTCCAATTGCTGTTTCATAGACTTCTGCTTTTAAAGAAGAATTACTGTCTTTCTATGACAAGTGTTGACATTTTTCTAGTTTTGTGGTGGCTTTCAATCCTGCAGCTCAGTGTCCTTATTAATGCTTGTAGGGTCTGTGCCCTTGGAGCGCCTCAGACATGTTCTCTTCCATGAAGCAGAATTATACTTTCTCTGCTTTGGGGGAGACTCCAAGGAAGAGTTTAGATGGATAGTCTACCCATCAGAATATCCTCAAATGACAGACAGGATTGTTGCAATGTTCTGCTGCAATGCTTATCTGCCTTTTAAAAAACCACAAAACCCCCCACTTCAGTATTTCCACTAACTTTAGTAGGT